GATGCATGCCATTCATGGAGCAGGGATGAATGCAAAGGAGAGCAGGAATGGTGTTTTATGAGAGCCACAAGTACAGGAAGATTGAGGCTCAAGGACACATGATGTATAAAAGATTAAGAAAAAGTACAATGAGATTATGTGAACCCTTGTTAGTTTGCTTCTGTTGCTGTCAGAAGTGTTCATACTTTGCTCTGTGCTAGAGGACTTATGCAGGCTTTCCTATTACAACCAGGATCAAAGCATCAGTGCTTTAGTTTCTCATTTATAAGAGGAAAGAAATGCAAAGCTTTTTGCAAGATATGTTATTTTCTTTAAAAGAATAGTTCTGGAGTGTGCAATTATCAGATCTATGATCTTCCTGGCTTGGCCCATAGATTCGATATCTCTGCCCTTCAGTATTGTAGCAACATTAATTTATATTAGTGCAGAAGGTGCTTAGTAATGTTGATATGATACCACAACATTGCTATAAATGTAATCTCTGTTTGCACCTCTGTCAGCAACACAAAATACTTTTTTTATGTCAAAAGACAGAGAGTTGCTACTTTCTTGACCTCCCGGATCTCACTTTCATAGTCATTTCTGTCCAAAATCAATAAATGGTATCATAGATGCCACAGTAAGTCATCAACCATAGAGGAACTGTTTCCAGTTTGGATACTTTAGGAGATATAATACAAAAGCCTGTAATTGTTAACTGCTCATGAGATGATCAACTAACCAGGCAGAAGAGCAGAAAGAAACAGGAGTTTATGTTTCAGCCCTGAAGTATTAACTAACAGTAATACTGCCAATGAACTTTCTTTGTGTTCATTACTAAGACAGGGAAGTATCTTAAAAAATTAGTAGGAAGTTATTTGAGTAATTTCAAAGTCAACTAGTTCAGAAAGAACTGAAATGTTCAAATGATGTTGAGTAAACCGCTTTGAGTCCCCCCAGGGATGAGAAAAGCGGTATATAAATGAAGTAAATAAGTAATTCCAGTTCAGTACTGATGGGGGTGAGGGGATTAAAAATACGATCCTGGTTGTTAAATATACCTTTAACTTCTATTTTTGTGTTCCTGATTTCAAAGGCAGAATTCAAACCAAAATTGACTCTAAACTGAATGTTCAACATTTAAAAAAATATCCCCCACATCAGAACAATCTAAACCAGCATGACTATTTTGTTTATCTATTGTCATTAAATCAGGCATGGGCAAACTTTGGCCCTCCAGGTGTTTTGGGCTTCAACTCCCACAATTCCTAACAGCCAATAGACTGTTAGGAATTGTGGGAGTTGAAGTCCAAAACATCTGAAGCGCTGAAGTTTGCCCATGCCTGCATTAAACAGATGAAAGACCATGGAAAGGACTTCAAATCCCAGTGCGAGACCACTTTAAAATGTGATGCTTAAAAATGTGACTAGATACTATATCTCTTGCAAATGTACCAGTGAAAACGGTATCCTACAGGCATGTTTTCCCTTTTTACATCCCTGTAACATGTAGGAATTATCAGCTTTTGATGTGGTACAATCACCTTGTGAGTTTCCCCAGTCCCAACTATCTTGACATAAATTACTCAGTTTAATAAGAATGGTGAGATGTAGAATAAGTATTCATTAAGAGTGAACGTGCTGCATAAGTCCCATTCTCACGGCAGCTCTGTTCAGGATGTAATATTTATTTCCATTCTCTTGGAATTTGAACCCTGGATTTTAGTCATAGTTCATTGCTCAAACCACTATGCCACACTGGCTCCCAGATTTCTAACCTCTAAAGAATGTGGTAGACATATCTTACTCTCTTTGAAATAAAGTAGATGTTAATGATATCACATGCTTGAGGAATATAAGTTCTGATTTATTCATAAATTCAGGGCATTTAAGGGTAAAATCCTTATCCCCACATGATGTGTCTTTTCTTAATATCGGGATACAAATGCTGGTTTGAGCAGATATCTATGCAAACACTGGGTTACTAGAAAAAAACCCCAGCGTGCAAGTATGCAAACACCAAGAATATGCTTTTGCACTGTAATTGAATTGGGGTTGGCAGTGAAGATAGTGAGGGAGGGGAACTGGAAGAAAATTTAAGATTTTGATAACAATAAGGCTGCATGAATCTAGTTTGGATTCCTGGTAGCTGGTCATTGGCAAACTCTGGAACCATGGACAGAGCTTTCATAAAGCCTGTATCAATAACTTCATCATGCTTAGTGGTTTGTTTTGTTCCATAAGATAAAAAAAAATCAACCCCCTGAAAGGAAACGATCATTGTAGAAGTTATAAAAAGAACAGCATGTTCCCTCAGATCAGAAGGTGACTGCACCTTGGTTTTGTTTCTGACCGTTTGACCTTACTGTTACCTAAGATCAGCTACTTATACCCTCACTACTATCACTGTGTATGAGATATGATTCACTCTTCTCTTCAAATATCTGGAAGAATTCTCTGAATGACAATTGGGAGCCTGCATGTGATCTAGAGATGCTGGATATTTCCTCTGTTGGAGGAAATGAGATGTATAATCTCAATTCAGAGATTTTTTTTTAAATGCTCATGATTATTACCAACATATTAACCCATACTAAAATATCTAACATTTGTCTTAGGTTGTGCTGTATGAATGAATAGGTGTTTAAGCGAAGTCCTACTAAGCAAAGTACTGATGGGCTCTGGAGCTGATGAAAAGCAGAAACGGATTATTGGCATTAAAGTTTGCACATGCAGGCTGTCCACCTGTTTTCCCCACATGATCCTTCTCATGCGATCTCGAATCTCAAAATCTCAATGGGAACTGGACTGAACAAAGGTCCTGTTTTTGCCACATCAAAATGGCTGCTAGGCTTGTGGCCAGTCCAATCCATGCCCCATAGAGTCCCAGACATAAGAAGAATCCATAGGTAGCCAACAGGTTCTTTTTTACACACAGTTCACATGTGAATCCAGAGCATCATGAACACAGTGGTTCATCGCCGAACCATGGATAAACAATCTGCCATGATGTCCCTGTGCAGTTTGGAGTATGTGACACACTGCTTCATGAGTGTCCACTTTGCCCCCTATAATACAGACCCATAAACACACTTAGTTACTCATGAAGAAGGTGCTTCATTGCTTGGTGATGACATTGTGATAAGCATTTGCAACCTGAGGAGAATGGGCAGATAAAACCATACAAGTGTGCACAAAGGGCAAAATAGTAAAGAGGCAATCATTCGCATGGAGCGTGGCCAGCCTGGTGCAATGGAAATCTTCAAATTAAATGAAAGGCTTTAGGGAGTTTTCTTTTCTCTTTTTGCAAAACAAAACAAAAAAAATTGAGGTAAGATCAGTGGTAAAATGAAAGCTCTTTACCAGAATGGATTGTAAAGAGTGCTGCTAAAAATAAAAATAACATAAACAGAAAAGGTTAATTTTCTACCATTAATTCCCCATCTCCTAGAAATCAGCATTTGGCACTGGTGAAGCCACACACACAAAGGAAAGCAACACTTTTGGTGTTCTTTCAGTAGCGTCCGCATGCATGGCTATGAAATGGAAAGAGGAAATATTTTTTAACCCGCATGGAGCAATACAATTGGATAAATTTCCATCAAAGCAAATAAATAAAATAAATGATACTGCAAGACCATCATAAGTATAACCTTGTTCTTTAAACATATCCCTAACCATTAGAGTTTATCACAAACCACTGTATAAATGACTTTTATCGCAATATTTACTAATGGGAAGTATATATGTATATTTAAATAAATAAGCTGTGGGGCTGCACATGATTGCAACCTATGCTCATTCCATCAGCCAGAATAATGTGTGTTTATTTACTTTAAAATTACTATTTTTTCCACAGAATAGGTCAATGATATTCCATGGGTAGAGGTAGATTATGGGGTTGAACTAATCAGATCAAAGCCCTGTAACTTTGTGTGCTCTTGGAGGAGTCTCATAAAACTGAGATAATCCCATAACAAACCACTAGCCATGGGATATTATAATATATTCCATGATGACTAGTATTTTCATTCCCCACCCCCAGTGTTGGACTAATACGAAATATAGTTTAGTCTGAATGGGAATATTTTCTTATTGCTGTCATTTATCATCACCATTAAAAAAGATAGAGTACCCTGTGAGATTATCACTCATGGCTCTTCAAAACAGGTTTGTCCAAAATGACCAATATTCTTCCCTTTCCAGTCAGCATTTAACAGTAGATGGTTGAAGGAGCTGCAGATCAGGGACCTAGGCTTTTATGACAATACATTGGTGTTTCCTTCCCCCAGAATTCTAATTGCTAAACTTCCATGTGTCTATTTTGTAATAAAATGAGTTAGGTTGCCTGCTGTGGAATAAACATCCTTACATTTAGCCTTGTTCCCTTGTGAAACACAGTGTGTGTTCTTTGTGGAATCTCAACTGTCATTCTAATAAGTGGCTAACCATCTGAAAACGACACATTTGTCTCACAGACTTGCATGCGTTGATGTAAGTCATTCTTTAAACAGGCACCTTGTTTCTCTGAAGATATGGTATGTTGCAACATTAAATGTAGCTAGGAATAAGCTACCTGGGCAGGGAGGGGACAAGACATATTTGTGTATGTTTGTCTTTTCCTGGGCAAGATCTGCACCCTTGGCTCTTGACATGCTAGGAAGCATACAACTTTCAGGAGCCATCATGATGTTTTCAAGCAGTCCAACAATGTAACTCTCTTTAAAAAATCTTTCCCCATTGGATCCATTTCTCTGAAAATCTTTCAAATGCCCCATTAAACAGGACCAATATTAAGGCTCCTATAGTGTGCACTCCTAAGTTTCATGTGTCAGCTTCTCCTGTACCATTTTGTCCCCACAACCTGTATGTCCCACACATTATTCCATGTGTGGTGGTGGGACGGTAATGGGATAATGTGCTACTCATTGCACTAAGAAAGCAGTCTGACTGAATCTTTCAATCTCTACAAAGGATGAAGGTTAAAGGTCAGATGGACATTCCTCTAAGAGGTTTCCTACCTGCTCTGTTAATTTCTAACATTTCTTCTTGGGCGAGTGGGCATGTGTCGCTCTGAGTACTGTGATGTGGAGAGTTTATGACAGATTTACAATAATTGGGGGATCCCAGCTGGGGCGGCCGTGGGATATGCTTCTTTTTTTTCTTTGGTAGCTTCTGCTTAGCCATAGCTAAGGAGTAATACATTCCGAAATTGTTCACAATGACAGGTACAGGCATGGCAATGGTCAGCACACCAGCAAGAGCACAGAGGGCCCCCACCAGCATGCCCGACCAAGTCTGAGGAAACATGTCTCCGTAGCCCAGGGTCGTCATAGTGACAACAGCCCACCAGAAGCCAATGGGGATATTTTTAAAGTGTGTGTGTTCACTGGCACTAGGATCATTGGGTTTAGCACCTATTCTCTCGGCATAGTAGATCATTGTGGCAAAAATCAGGACACCCAATGCCAAGAAGATGATGAGCAGCAAAAATTCGTTTGTGCTGGCACGTAGGGTATGACCCAAGACCCGCAGCCCTACAAAGTGGCGGGTCAGCTTGAAAATTCGCAGGATTCTCACAAACCGAACAACCCGCAGGAAGCCCAAGACATCCTTAGCAGCTTTGGAAGACAGGCCACTTAGTCCAACCTCCAGATAGAAAGGCAGAATGGCCACAAAGTCAATGATGTTCAAGGTATTTTTGATAAATTCCACTTTGTTTGGGCAGAAAATGATCCTCATCAGGAACTCAAAAGTAAACCAAACCACACAAACTCCTTCAATGTAGGTCAGAAAGGCCTCAGTCTCTGCTTCCTGGTAGATGCGCATGTGGGTGTCATTCCCAATAGTTTCCGTCTCTGTCTTGTTGACAATAGGATTAAATCTCTCATGGGTTTCAAGGCAGAAGGTAGTGATGGATACCAGAATGAAGAAGAGAGATGCAAATGCGATATACTGCAGAAAGAAAAACAGGAGAAAACTGTTAGATGTTAAAGTCCATTTTTGAAGGGACTAGGGAGGTGTGGGAACCAAGAAAGCTGTTTGGGGGTTCATTAAATGTTATAAGGCTGGCAAAGATCTGCTTATAGAACCCAACTCCCATTTGGCAAAGCAACAAGTTCCATTACCAAATTAATTCATGAGCAACCTACTATTGAGGAAACATCTTGTGCACCATCTTGACATTCCATTATATGCATTTTGTTTCACTGGGACAACTTTTCTCTCCCTCTCCGCACTTTAATTATTCACTAGTGAGGGAAGGGGTATCCCAATTGGGGCTGTAAGTACATTTTCCCATCATAAATGACAGAACCTGATGTCCAAAACATCCACAAGCTACATGACCAACTGATCTTGATGGTGGAGCCACGTCACTCACCCACACCTATTCAATCACATCTCGTCACACTCACGCTTTTACCTCAAACTTCTGAAATTTCTCATGGAATGTCTTATTAAGCTGTTTTCACATTTTTTTTTCTTATGGAGGATGAACATGCCTTTGAATGTGCTTCTGTCTTTTAGTATGATATGTAGAAATTCATAATTTAATACATTCTACCACAAATACACACAAGGTTCTCATTTAACAGAAATAAAATGTGCCAGAAGGACATGCAAATATTTTGTGAAATTTCTGATGTAGATCTTAAGACACTCCTCAGTTCTGACCTCTGATTTCTTCCTTCATGTTTTTCTTTCTTTTTTTTCTTTTTTTCTTTTTTGAAGTGGTAGTAATGGGACAAAATGGTTTGGAATCAGCTCTTCCTAGGTTTTTCAACCCAATATACTATTCAATCTATTAACTTTATCCTCACTAATATGACAAGGTGAAGTAAGTTATACATTTTATGCTATTGCACTGTTAAGGTTCTTAAACATGCTAATCTTCTCCCAAGGACACCACACTTTCTAAATATTGATTCTCTTCTGCCTCTGCCTATATCAAAATAATTGTGAGTGACAGGAACATTACTCATGTTACTCCAAGACTAGTATGAGAACTGCAGAATCTTTATCTATTGGCCTGGGGGGGGGGATCTTCTCATGTACTTTAACATTAGCCTAGACATGTTTACCAAGCTTGAGTCCATAAAACATGGGGAATGATGATCTGGGAATGTGTAACCATGTAGAGAGGAAGGCTTAGAAATGTGAAGGCGTCGTTCTCTATGACCTTGACTACACCACCAAAATAATCCAGATACAATTCACATTATTCAGTCCTGGAGCTGCCCTGGATTCACCATGTTAGTGCCACACCTATTTGTAATATACCACACTTAAACAGTATAGTTGGCCACACCCTAAATGCAAATCAGCACTGGTTTTATTTCCTCTCCTCCTCCAAAGCAATCTGCTATTGCATTTTTGCTTGGTTTCTCCATTACTGCTGCCTTTATGGCCAAACAGCTTCCTGGCAGAGCTCCACTGGGGAAGTTGCTTGCTTTGACATTGGAATAAGGTGTTCAGCTATGCAATCAGTGGTGAGGAAACAGCCTGATCAGCAAATCATCATTAATCTCATTGCTGGGCACCTCATTCTGAACAACCAGCTTCCCTAGATGACCCTATCGGGAAACTGTTTGCCTGGCAAGGAGTTGGTGATGGCCCTGAGGAGAAAGGTTCAGGGATGTTCTCTTCCTCCCCTCAATGTTGCTTCCTGGTACAAAAATTAAAGAGGTCTTAAATGTCACAAAGCATACACCCCAGTTAGTAGCATTGAATATGTAAAAAAATGGCGATGCTTGACACCCAGCAATTTGTCCCCTCCAGTGTCCTGAAGCCACCCTGATCTAGCTGTACACATGTAACAAAAACCCAGCAAAAGATTGGATTTTCTTGGAAACTTGGGAGCAAGAAGTGAGCTTGAAATATCTCATTAAAGCTTACAAGTAGCACTTAACTACTAAAGGGGTTGTATATCTGGATCCAGGCAGTTACATGTGAATTTTTTTTAGTAGTAAAGATAAGCCCGATATGAACACCATTTTTTAAAGTTGATGAACAGTACATCAATTCAATCTAGTCCTTGTGTGGAAGAAAGGTTATTGCATATAGAATGGGGAAGTTCATGAGGGAAACCAACACTTTGGGAGAAGTCACTGCGTCATTTAACAGATCACACATGGTTATTGTACATACATATGGGATAGCTGAGAGGAATTATAGATTAGAGGCTAACATCTCAAAGGTCATCACAGTCAGTTAGAAATGTGGTCAGGGAAGTAAAGAATTTAAATTTAAGGACAACTATGAATTGCTTCTAGGAAAAGATCCAAAGAAAAGATATACGTTAAGCGACTAAATAGCTATACTTCTGGGTATCTGTTAGGAATTATAATGAGTAACAAAGTAGTGCTGGTGCTTTCCCCTCTCTGCAGAATGACCCTCAACCGATCTACGGGTCATATAAAAATCCATAATTTTGGCTCCAAAACCTTCCCTTGACTTGTACATGAGATTGACTTATACATACATATATATCCTACTCAGTTTCTTCTCAGAGTGCTTCAGAAGAAGGGGATGGAAACGCAAAGAGGATTGATTCAGCCTCTGTCCTCATATTGTTCTCTTTGCTTTACTCACCAAAGAACCCATTGCATGCTCTTAATACAGCATGATTTTCTCATAAGGGACTACAAAACTCTTCTCCCTCACAGAAAAACTAAATTTGACTACCCTATATAGGCTCTATCCATCCTTCTCCTCCTCCAAGACTGAATTCGTATTTTTTTTTAAAAAATAACGAATACTCCTTATGTTGCCACCCAGAAAATAAAAACACACACATACTCATGCACACAGAGACATGTTCCTTTGCTGATGTCCCTCCAATTTCCCTTCTTCCTCCCAATCCATCCTCATTTGACTTCTTGATAAATTATTCATTTAACTATTAATCTCTGATATACATTCACTCACCCAGGCTCTCTATCCTTCCAGGTAATGCAATCTTTACGTATCTCTTTCATCATAACTACAGACACATCCAGCAGCCCCTTACCACTCTTGTCACCTGCCACCAACAGGTCTCTTTCCCTGATCCTCTAGATCAGCGGTTCTCAGCCTGGGGGTTGCGACCCCCAGAGAGGTCGCCTGGCCATTTCTGAGGGGTCGCGATGTTGCCTTCTTTGCCCCGCCCCCCAAACTCCCTGGAATAGCGGCCAGGCCTCAGGGCCACCCTCTTCTTGCCCCCTTCGAGAACTCCACCGCTGGAGGAAGCCTCGAAAAGTGGCGACAGGAGCGTGGGGCAGCAGGAGCAGTGAGGCTTGCCCTTGCCCTTCTCTTCTGGGCTCTTCTTCCTCCTCCTCCTCCCTGTTTGGGGACTTCAAAACTGAGAGGAGGAGGGGAAGACCCTGGAGGAGAAGGAGGGTAGGCTCTCTGCTTCTGCTGCCCCACTCCCTGCTCTTCTCTCTGCCCTTTGAGGCCTTAGCTTTGTCTGGAAGTCTCAAAGAGTGGTGAGAGGAGTGCAGGGTAGCAGCAGCAGCAAAGCCTGCCCTCGTCCTTCTCCCCTGGGCCCTTCCTCATCTTCCCCTCAGTTTGGGTGCTTCCAAACGGAGAGGAGAAGGAGGAAGACCCTGGAGGAGGAGAAGGAGGGCAGGCCTCACTGCTGTGCCCCACATAGTGCTTTTCTCACAGCTCTTTGAGGCCTCGAAGAATGACAAGAGGAGCACAGGGCAGCTGCCCTTGTCCTCTGTGCTCTTCTTCCTCCTCCTCTCCAGTCTCTTCCACCAGCGCCTCCAAACAGGGAGGAGGAGGAGAGCATGCGGTGCTGCTTCTGCTCCACACTGTGCTTTCCCCTCCACCCTTCGAAGAATCCCCCACAACCTACGTATCAAGTATTTCACATCACTCTCCAGATTGTTTATGAACTACATTTCTCCTAAATCACTGTCAATTTCTCCCAAACCTCTCCAGTATTTTTTTTTTGTCATGGGAGTTCTATATCCCAAATTTGGTTAAATTCCATTGTTGCTGGTGTTCAGAATGCTCTTTGATGGCAGGTGAACTATAATTCCAAGTAACTGCAACTCCCAAATGTCAGAGTCTATTTTCCCTAAACTCCACGAGTGTTCAAATTTAGGCATAATGAGTATTCGTGCCAAGTTTGGTCCAGATCCATAGTTATTTGGGTTCTCAGTTCTCTCTGGATGTAGGTGAACTACATCTTCCCTAAATCACTGCCAAATCCTCCCAAACCCCTCCAGTATTTTCTGTTGGTCATATGGGTTCTCTGTGCCAAGTTTGGTCCAGTTCTGTAATTGGTGGGGGTCTCAATGGTCTGTGGAAGTCAGAGCTGAATGGGTTGAAGGTACTGCAAATCCCATCATTTGTAGTCCATACTCCCCCAAACATATTGTTTTTGTGATTAATCACTATGCTTTAATTAGGTTCAATTTGTAACAATAAAAATACATTCTGCATATCAGATATTTACGTTATGATTCATAACAGTAGCAAAATTACAGTTCTAAAGTAGCAATGAAAATAATTTTATGGTTGGGGGTCACCATAACATGAGGAACTGTATTTAGCGTCACGGCTTTAGAAAGGTTGAGAACCACTGCTCTAGATTAAATAAACACACATTCATTTTTTTGAAAAAGATACCATTCTTTGGATTTTCCTCTATAATTCTGGTCTTTGTTTGTTCCCTTCCAAGTCTAATAATGGTGGTCTTCTGACTCACTGAGGCTCTCCTCCAACTAGTCCAAATGGAACCAACTGCCATAGCATACAGCAGCCAGGGTCAGTACTGTTTTCACCTGGTGACTTATGCTCACTGCTCTATCTGTCCCGCATACACAGTTTTCCTTTCTTCCTTTGATGCTCATTCCCTCATTGCTTGGTGTGTGCATATGCACTTCAAATAGCACATCACTTGCTGTATGTACAGCTCAGCACAGTAGGGGTTTTTTTCCCCTTTTGTGAGCTGCTCCCTGCTGAGC